CACTAAATTGGTGGTGTTGATATCGGAAAGGCCATAAACTAGTTATGCAACGCTGTATCATGGTAAACCATGGAGTATCCCTCTTTTACCATGCATTTCCTTGATCTACCGAAAATTAAAAAAATACTCTTGGAATTCTTATTGGTATGGCACAAAAAAATTCCGCTAGACGTAAAATTCGATACATCCTTTGTCTTCACAACACTGAGCTGCGCCAGTGGGCTGGTAATTAACTTCATCAGGGTCGGGCGTATGGACACCCTCAAAACATATCCCACAATTTTTTTCGCTCGCAATGCTTGGTTTATATTCAAAGGCTCCTTGCAAAGTAAATAGACTCAAACACAGGCCGCACTTGAAACTAGCTCCTTGGGAATTTTGAGAAATTTTCCAAACGCCTTTCTCAGGGTGGTAGAGAGTGCATCTTTTTCTACCAAAGTGAGGGTCATACTCTTTGTGACAGCGAACGCAGTGAACAGTGTCAGCGGTAAACTTGTTCTTGGGAAGTAAAGTTCCCAGGGCATTGATGGTTTCCGAGTCTTTGGTTTTTAAGCTGTGTTTTAGGACACTAAGAAGTTTTGAGGGATCGATCGTTTTTAAAACACCTTTTAAGCGATGGTATTCTCTGTCCAAATCACCTTCGGAGAGGTTATTGCTGTGTTCGTTTTCTGGATCACTTGACATTGTTTTGTGATCAAAATTCTCGCCATTTTGGAGAGGTTGGTTAAAATCTGCGCAACAGCCACTTGTACTGCTGTCAGAGAGACTAGAGATAGAATACGCTTCCGTTTGTACATCTGATAATGACGAAGAATCAAAAAAGGTCACTTTCTTTTTCTTCTGTTTCCCCCCAAGAAGAATTTCCTGAGTTTTATCTTTCCCGGTGAAGTATCCTCCATTTTTAAACTGAGATGCGTCCGCTTTTAAGACCACAACATTTGTAAACTTCTCGATGATATATTTTTCATCAGTCTTAAAACCGTTTTTAGCTGGTAATTGTAACTCATTCTTCAGCGCATGTAGTTGTTTTTCCGTATTATCACTGTCACTGTTACAAAATTGAATACTATTTTCACATCCGGGGACGTTGTGTCCCATTCCCTCGTCAGAACTGTCTCCAAACTCCTCCTCCGCTAGCTCTTCCTCGCATATTTCACACGTGGAACAAGTGCTGCACGTGGAACAACTGCATTCGGATCCAAAATCATCGTCTGAATATTGCTCATCGTTCTCGCTGTAAAACGAAGAGCTTTCGTCGTTGTTGACATAACTCAGTTCTTCTCCGTTGTCGCTCTCCATCTTGATTTTGTGTCGATGAGGTGGAAGTAGACTCAACACCTCGATTTCTCCTGTAATAATAAACATCGTAGCAATTATAAAGGACTCTGTACATTAATCTTTCTTTCCCGAGTGCGCTGCTTGTTGTTCGTGTTTCCCTCAAAGAGTAAGAACGGCTTGTGCTAGTTGCATATTGTATATATGAGGTACCTTGCCCACTTCAGGCTAGTCTAGTATTTACGTCTGCAGTGCTTGGAATAGTAACATTTTCAAGAGCTCTCTTTAAACTACCCGCGCATTTCCGTCTGTTGTCATACTAACTGTTTAGTTTATTTTACCAATATTGAACAGGCAAATGTTATTATGCTTTGTCTGTGCACCAAAAATGGAAAATACTTGAAAGGGAAAGATCAATACAAAAACCTCTTAAAGAGTCTCTTGTTTCGTAAATTAAGAGCTTTAAAACCATAACATACCTTGACTTAAAGTGCAGTTTAAGGTTGTTTTATACGATTATTTACGAATGCTGAAGATTATGTACTGTTATTCTAGATCGACCAACTCTCACCGAACGACAGAAGATGGTCCTATCATGTATCATTCGGGAGACAACTTGATTTTCCATCGATGACGCAGCGAAATGAGTTTCATTATTTTTTTTATTTGATGGCTTATGGTAAGAATAGATCGTTGTAGGAGGTAAATATTACGTCAAAAAGGACTCAATAATAACTTTCTCGACATCTCTCTCACCTTCAAAATAATAATATCAGTGCTTCGTTATCGCTTGAGGCTGATTTTTGTTGTAACCTTTGAAAGTTGATGTTGAATGAGTTGTCCTCCTCAAGTCACAAACTCAACTTACTAGGGATTCAGAAATGTGGGTGGTAAAGAAAGAATCCCGATCCCGTTACACGCGCAAATGTTAAAAAAAATTCACGCATCATGATTTAAAAAGGGAAAATTTTCAATCTCATGTTAACCTTCCTTTCTGTAAAAATTCACGCGTCACGTATTCATTTTGGGCTTAAGCACGCGTCACGGATTAACATTTTAAGTACTTTGCCTCCCTCAGTAATTATTAATTTAAGAAATTTTAGCACCAAGAATTTGTTGAAAGATTTACTAAAACAGGGTAAGAAATACTAAAATCCAAATAGGAGTGAAAAAAAAGAAAAAAAAAAACACCAAAAAACAAGAGACAAAAAAATGTTTTGCGAGAATCCAAGAATAATGCGCGCGAGGAATTAGCGCGTGCTGGTAAAAATCATTCGCTCCTTGTTGAGATGAGTCCTCGTAACACTGACAGTCATGACCAAGAAATAATTGAGAAGATTAAAACTGTATTGCTTCCGGGCAAACTGTGAAAATCTTCCACCCGAATTTTTCAAAGATTCCTTAATCTGAAAAAAAAAAGAATTCGCAGCCTTTGAAATCCTCCATTGTCGACGCGAAATCATAGCTATCGCTATCACCATTTTTATTATTATCATCATATAATTATTGTCATTATAATTGTCATCATAACTATAACTATTAATTGAAGAAAATTTTTGTGATATTTTGAGAACCCAATTTATTATTAATAAGCTAAAAAATATCAGAATAATGAGACATTTAAGGACCGTTAACTAGCTCTTCGAATAACTTAATTAATGTTTAACCTTTTCATTCCCAAGATTCCATTCACAATTCTCTTTAGTGTTAGCTGTACAATTCTTATGAAGTTAGTTTGGAGAATTTGGTATTAGATCGACCAATAATTCCCTCGTTGATATTTCCTTTTATTCTCATCATTTGTCTGCTTGATGTTATATTGATATTGTAAGGAGAAGTTATGTTCTGGTCACTCATGTGAGTTAAGGGTCAAAAAAAAAAAAGCATTACCTGAAGGTATCAATTATCATTATTTTTTGCTTCTTTCTTAAATAGAAAAGACCAGCATAACCAGAATAGTTAAGCTGTTATAATTACAAAATAAGCGAAACCTGTGTAGAAAGACCACTGGCAACCCTGTCCTGCAACTACTTTTCCCGATTATTTACAGACTACCTTAACATAAAACTATTAAATGAAGAAAAATCGATAGGAAATCAACATTCATAACATCTCATAGAATTTTACAACTAGTTTCTGTCATGAGATTTCATGTGGAGCTTTCAAACCGATTCCATTTCATCTATTCTAAGTTTGGGTTATTTCTATTTTTTGGCCTTTGATCACCATAAATAACCACGATTTTAGGATTTCCCGCTAATTTAAAGTGATTATAAACGTGATTTAAGCTTCAGGCGGGCGGGTGATACTATTAGCGTATATCTGATGATGCAGCAGGAGCAAAATTTCATCACTGTACCAACCTTATCTCTTGTAATTAAACAAGACAGATGTTGCCTGAAAATAGAATATTTCACGACCCCTACGTCAAGGAAAAAGAGCAAAGACTCACCCAGTGAGATATTTCATCCATCACTGCATCGCAGCCTTTGCAAAGCGTGAAAAGCAAATATGGATTTAAGAAAATCAAACTCAGAATAACTCCTGCTGAGTAGATTCCTTGTGCCATGTGACGTCAACACGCGGGGGGAGAGGTCACGAAATCGTGTTTGATATAATTTGATTAATCCTTGGAGTTCACTGTTATGGTCGCGACAAGAGGTTTTGCGTACGCTTTGCGGGCCTATAAGCTTTTCCTTCTCTCAGCGGTCTTCCGTATTATTGATCTATCTCATTACTTTTTTCTTTGTGCATAATCGAATAAGACAGGAGATCTAGCGAATTGTTTTTAATCCTCACAATATATCGTTTCAAAATAAACAGACCGGAAGAAATACAAGAATTCGGAGTTAGAGGATGTTTTTCCGTCCTCATGTGTTTATTCCTAACAACAACACGAAACTATAGAAACAATTTTTATCACAATATTTTCAAGTGGTTTTTATAACAGCTTAATAGCATTCCTTTCTTTTTCTTTTTCCAATTTTTCTACTTGTTACAAGTACGTACGTAAAATTCGAGTGAAATCAATTAAAAAAAACACTAACGATGTAGCAATTTGTCACAATTCACGAGAAACTTCAAACGTTAGTATTCAAAATCAGTGGCCCATTCTACATTAAGGTCGCATCACAAATTAAATCCACAGCAATATTGCTGCTGGCGTTCCGCTATTTTTAACAACACTTGCAGACTTCTTTTGTCAACACAGCCGTCACTGATGATTAATTTCACCGCATTTGGGCCCAAAAGGGCAATTAGCTATCTATTAGCATTCTTTGGCATTGATATGACACCACAGAAATTGCTTCAGGTGTTGTAGCGAGCGCTCATCAAACAGATGGCGAGTTGAACCTGCCTCACTTATTGTTGACACAAATTGCTTGAATCTCAAATTAATGCAATAAGCGATCATTAAAGAAAGTACAAAATATGTAATAAAACAGCGATGTTTCATTACCTAGCCTGTGCATATTAAATACTGGGACATAACAATATTAAGAGCTGTTTTACAGACCACTGGCGAATAAGAAAGAAGAACAGCTTTGCGTTTATTTCAAGCATCAATACTTTTTTGTTTCCCTTTGTGGGTTTAGAATGAGCTTTTAGCAGCTCGGATGTAAGTATATGAACAGTAGATGACAGTATGTGACTATAGTCAGTTCAAATTAAGACTACACGAGACCACCACATACCAGTTACGTCTATCGCTTCTTGATATGCGCTTAATCGAGGATTTATATTGACTCGGGAACTAGTGGAATTCGCAAACTCCGCAGATATGATCAACACTTGTCTTAACCGCGGAGGAATCTACAGTAGTTGAGGCTTTTCCCGAGTTTTTAACGCTTTATTTAGTGGTTACATTTTGCGGATTAAGAAATGTCATCGTCTTCCTTGCTAACGAATAGAAAACATCTAAGCTTAAGAGTCACTTCTGAAAGGGTAAACAAGTTTTGAACTATGGTGGTGTGCGGGCACAATTACCTTTGAGTTGCGCCGGTTCGGGGTCTGATTTTCTCTAGAAACGATCTTCCTACACCAATCAAAGCATTAACAAATCATTCATTGATGAATTAGATCTTGAGAAATTACTCTTACCTGCGTGGTAAATGTAACCGTACGCCTCGCGCGTTTCTCAGTCTCCAAAAATAAATGTGGTTTATAAGCCTGGTGTAATCACATACAAGAATTCTTGATTAAGCTTATTAAAACACGACACATCGGCTACTCTATGTCATTTCAGTAGTAGTGCCAAACATGATATTGTCACCACACCAAACGTTCGATTTCCAACCGAGATTCTTGGAATTCAGAAAGTTTGAGATGCTGGCGTATGTTATCAGAAAACGTAAATGAGTTTTTAAGCACAAAAGCAGACACATCCCTCGCTCGCTGAGGTATGACTAACATCCATTTTTTACGAAACATTAAACAACAAAAGATTTTACGTTGTATGTGTATTTATGTGCTGTTTTGTTTTCTAGAATAGGCCACTAGCTGAATGCCTAACACAATTAACACGCAGATGCAGATGTAAATTAGATTGGATTGAACGGCAGCCGACTGATTATAATGGGAAAAACTTCTGAGCGCATAATACTGAATGCCTTCGAGAATAATTCGTGTAACTTTTTCTTTTCTCTATTTTCTTTTCCCTTCACTGACTCGGTTATTGGTTTCCTTTAGCAAAACTTTATCTTAATTGAGCGATTACTACATGAATAAAGAAACCCAAACTATTTTCAATTTTATCACAAAAGAAATTTCATGATCGCGCTTCAAGCCGAGAAAAAAATTCTTTTTAAGACCGATTACACTTGAGCGCTAATCCACACTTTACAAAAAGCTTTGATTCTTAAAGTAAACTTATTAAACTTTAAGGCAATTCTATGCTCGCTTTCTTAATATTGTCTGTTGCGTCCATCCATGAGTTTTCGGATTTCTGCGGTTTGATGCATGAACACAACAAGTTGACAACAATACATCGGAATTTTCGCGGTTTTTTCCATTACATGTAAAATCGTGTAGAGTTCTAACTTGTCATTCCCGCACAGCACCTAACAATAAAGTAAACAATCTGACTGAATAAACTTCTATAGGATAAATAAAGGATCCCTCAGCGAAAGTAGGAAGTAATTGAATAATAAACTGCCCACATACAGATTAAACCCACTCATAAAGATGTTTGATCGACACATTCATTAATGTTGGCGTTCATTGTAATTCATTTTACTCACGTACGGAAAACGTCAGAGGTATTAAGCCAATAGAAGCGATGTTTTATTCATTCTAATTCCATCGAAGTTACTTTCTTTGCTTGGGTCGAAGAGAGAGGAATTTTTCTTCTAATTCATCATAAGCATGTTGTAAGCCCAATGAATTTCCTATCAGAAAATCATTGAAACATACCTCTAAACATTCGAGGTTTTGAAAGATGCCGGAAAACAGACATATTATGATCTCATGCTCATCAAAAACAACTTGAATAATTAAAAAGAATCTGTGAGACTGACCTTTTCGTATTGAGTGACCTATATGAAAAACCTCTTTTCGACGCGAACAATTTTTTGATCATACGGCAATAATGAGAATATACAAAAATTCCCGACGTATTTTAACTGATAAAGAGAAATTCTCCCAACTTTGCTTCGTCATCTGGTGCTCAAACTTCATAGATGCGAGAAAAAAGAGGAATTTTCCTCTATTTTTGGCTTTAAACACGAAGGCGCGCTATAAATAAAAGGAGCCTAAGGTCCCACTGGACCATTTGTCAATCAACCGTCGTGTGATGTAGAACTCTTAGAGTCAAGTCAGCTTGAGCTACAGCTATTCCAAAGCAGTGAACAGCAGGCGCATTCCTCAAAATTGTTTTATGTCTTCATCACAATACAAGAATTTTTGAGATTTGTATTTCCTTTCTCCAATGGAAACTGTCTTTATTTGTGGCGGTAAATTTGAGATCGAAGTAGTTGGTTCGCACGTTACCTCATGCCACCATGCTGGTGGAAGTAAACAATAGATATCTCATTAGCTCCTTTTGTTCGTCTACCACCATTTAAATTTGACCCGCACACGTCAACGGTGAGTGAAAAATGAGCCTAGGTCTTCCCAGGGAAGACTTCCTTATATAGCGCGCCTTCGTGTTTAAGATTCGTCACTACCGTTTCATCCCCTACAGCGGTCCGATGTGGATTTTCGAAGAATTCGAAAAAAGGAACTTTATCATTTTTTATACTTTGAGTATCTTTCACCAGCTTCTTCTCGGCCCACATGAGGTTTCCTGGAAATAGACCACTTGGGGTTTTCCGAGCACGGCTTGGGCTCGAACCTATACTCAGGGAAGAACCCTTTATAGTCAAAAACAGGGGGATGGCGGCACAACTTTGCAAACGGTTCTATTTCAGTGATATTATACGGCGCAGATAATGAGGCTTTCTTGCGCAATACAAAAGAAGACAGCCACAATTGTCTCATAGATCTAGGATACGAGCCATGAAGACTCAAGTACTTTTGGCAGACGTTCTTATCGAGTAAAAATCTCTGATCTTTTCCGGCGCTTTTGTGCACAATTCTTTGATTATCCATGAAATAAGTAACGTTCTTCTTGCTCTCCATCATCCATAGCGCTGCGGCCTGATCGCCGTAGGGCGAGCAAAGAAGAGTACTGTTTCTCTTATCAAGAACCTCTTGGATCAAGTCGTACGTGAGAAGAAGCCATGCTTCATCCACGCGGACTATTTTTGGTTTACAATGCACAAAGCCCCAATACAATGCTTCCTTGGGACGGAAATTCAATTCATACAGAAGGCGATCCAGGCAGAGAAAATGGTCGTCATCTATGCGCAGAAAGAAATCGAACTTGTGACTTTTTAAGGCCCATTCCATTGCCTGAAGCAATCTTTCGGTGAAGGCAAGATTATCTGTCAACAAGAGAGAGCAATTACTGTATTAAAATTTTCCAGAGCATAAATTGACCACTTTCATAAATGGCTGCCGGATTGATATTCTTTTGATTAAATTTAAATTAGCCTTTCTGGCCTCGTTCTCCAGTTCAAAATTCAAAAGAATGCATTATCTTAAACGAGGCTAGCGAGGCTAGTGAATTTAAACAACAGAATATCAATCCGGCAGCCATTTATGAAAGTGGTATATAGCATGCTCATCTTCAGATTTCCATTTATTTAGACAGGACCCCATTGATAACAGTGCTCCTGCACTGAAGGGCTATTCTGTATAAATATTCGTTGTTATTATTATTATTATTATTATTATTATTATTATTATTCATAGACACAAATAGCGCGCGCAATTCCTAAAAATCAGATTTCGCGCAATTCCAAAAATCAAAAGAGAATACAAAGTTTATATTCTCTTGACTTAACCTTGTCTCTGTAAAACAATAGCCTCGTCGAGCCAGAATTCGAATGTGAGGAAAGTTATTCCTTATCCAGAGTAACAGATATATAGAAGTATAACGTTTAGAGTTATGATAATTTAAATTTCCATTTCTTTGCTATCGCTGGTGAATTTACTTGAAAAAACGATGTTATGCATGAATCAACCCGCTGACCTTCCACTTGAAGAAAAATCAAGTCGTTTTTTTCTTCTTGTTCCTGTAAAATAGCATTTTTCGTTTCGTTTTCCAAGCCTGCTTGGTCAGTAAAGAACGCACAGAAAACCTCGTCTGGTCTGCGTTTACATTCAGTAAACCACGTATCCCGAATGGCGTCCCGTCTTGCTCTACGGGACGCGTGCGTTAGAATCGCCACAAAGAGAAGGATGTTTCCAGGTCGTCCCCTTTGAAAAAGATAAGCTGAATTCACCCCAGGTGAATTCACATAAAGAGTTTCTTTTTTTCTAGAGTTTGGTGCTTCTAAAAGTGAAGTCCACTTTGTTATTGTCCCTATAAATAATCCTTCCAATATTACAAGGCAAAGAAGCGTCCAAAAAAGATGACAGCGCGAAGCCATTCTCTTCTGGTAATTGCTTCGACTTTTCTGTGATCAGAAACATCCTGTCTTCAGAGAACATTGATCGATGAATCGAACCGTACGATTGATTTCCATTTTTCGACGTATATTGAAAGAAATATTTTGAACAATAATTCGGTAACTAGGAAACGGTCATTCACTATCTCTGAAAGTAACCAAAACAATACAAACCAAGTTCGTATATTGTTGGAGTTTTAAAATACACAAGCAAGCAAACATACACGCCGGATAGACAATTTTGAGGAATGGGAAAAAGAAGGGAAGAAATTTAATTTATAATTGTTTTAAATTTTTTTAAAACAAGAGGAAGTCCAGAGAGATAATTTTGCACCAAGTAGCTCTTTTCCGTAAGAAAATAATCTGTGGTTGATATTTCGACAAGTAGAGAAGTCGCACAGTCATTCGATCATAACAACTGAAACATTTTAATTTAACATTCTTTCAAATAGAAGTTTACTAAAAACAAAGTCTTTTGGAAGGCATTACTTCTGGATACGCGATTATTCCATACAAATGCTACAACTAAATATATAAACATATATCACGTTCTTAACCCTCTCCAACCATTCAAGGCAACTCAGATAGTCTATTGCTTGGTTAAAACACTACCGTCGGGGGTAGGGAAAGACTGGCTGACACCATTAATCCTTTCCTTATCCATGCCAGGGTTTGCAGACCACAGGATCGATCCATTTTTGACAAGCGTGGGGGAAAAAGGGCGCTTTGTTTTCAGTAATTTAACCGAGTACAACAACAGACATAGAACGCTGTTACCTTCAATTGTTGTACGTGGAAACAACAACCACATCGCCATTTGTCTGAGGATGTCATATGCTCGAGAAAAAAAGACAAAATTATAGACAGCGACACGTGCTTTCTATCAAGAGTTTTTCTACCACTGTTCTCATTTACCTTAACAATCTATTTGCTTATGAACTTTTTGGCAATGGTATACACTTAACTATACACGAAAACGAATCCTATTTACAAAAGCATTCAATTACCTGAATATGTAACGTGTATATATATATGCGTAATTTACAAAAGATAAAGCCGAGAGTTTGCCTTAAGACCTGAGGTGGGTTAACAAAACATACAAATTAAAGAAATCTGTTTGGTAACAGCATAAACATGGCATTATAACATAAACCACCTAAAGCGCGCACTGATTGGTTAATTCTGCTATTTGCCCATGGGGTGTATGCTGGTGATGTGCTGACGTGAGCAAATGTTTTCAAGTAGGCAAATGTTTAGCGAGTTGTTTTTTTTTTTAACGTTCTAAAACAAATGGTAAACACCACAACGTACACCGAGGAGGTTCGCTGAGCACTCAAGAAGCTAGTGTCGCTCTGGGCTATCACCTCGAGCGACTCTTGCCCTTTCTTCGTGCTTAGCAACCTCCCGCGTGCATCCAAAACTAAATAGTGTACGCTGTGCATGTGTTATTAACCATTTGCTAATTCAAAAGGGCTTTAGCTACATCTGCCATGTCCTTAAAAAAGCTGCTTAAAATGTATATACACTAAAAATCTCAACGTCCATCTCAGTAATCTACATTAAATTTTCACGAATGTAAACAAATATAAAACTGGAATATCAGGGAATGTTCTTCACTTTCAATTGCGCTGTGATGTTTTTTAACACTCAAGTGCAAGAGGAAATATCGCATGATTTGTATTGTGTTATAATAAGCACTGGAAGTCACTTTGTCAATGGTTCACTGATGGCGCGAAAGAAAGTCTTACACTCAACATGTCAACGTAAAGAAACGGCTCTAAAAGGCTAGCGATTTTAAAAGCATGATGGAGGTTTTAACGTAATATAATAGTTATTTACTTCATTTTGCATTCTACCATTACAACGTAAGAAGTACACTGTCAAAAGTAAACTCAAAACAAGTCATTAAAAATCGAAAATCTTAATCAACGGGAAACTGAACTGCTCAACCCCATCTCTGTTATTTAAATTCACCTCTTCGAGTCGCGAGTGTCGTGAGATCAACGGTGCTCCAACGTTGCTTACAGGTCGTTTCACACCCGATGGTTTGACCAATGGGGTATGACTACCGTTTATAAAAACGTGAAGTTTCTTAATAACTCCTCATAATAACTTAATATATTGACCTAACGAATAACTTAACGCCACAAGAGTATAATTTACAAGGCATCTTTTTTAACTTTTCTGCATATAAAGTGTAATATATAAATACAGTCAATATAAGTACCTGGAGTGATAAAATACTTAAAGAAAACTAACCATATTGTTAAATAAATTCTAAAAAATACCCCAACTACTAATTTACTGTTACGAAATTACAGATTTTCCCTATTAACAATCTTCGCATAATGCCACTTGTCCCTTCTTGTATTTCCTACACGGGCATAAACGCATAGTTGTGGGACTCGTTCCCGTGCAGCTGAACAAAAGGGACTGGGTCTGGACAATGCAGGCCCTGGGTTCTTCGCGGTAACCTGGAGCGATGAGGGATGGAACCTCCTCAAGACGACTGGCGTTACATGGAAAACCATTCCTGTCACGAAATTAACACTGAGTCACACAATCATCTTACAAATGAAATAAGTAATGGTAACATTAAAAGTCGAAGTAAAGATTCAATGACGAAGAAATTATTAACTTATAATTATGTTCCAGATTTCTTAACACAATAAAGTGAAGGGGATGTCTGACACTATTCACTGAGAAGATTTTTAGTTCTCACAACAGCACACGGATCATGAAGATATCTGAACTATAGCCTCGTTAACAAATTCGCGCAACTCGTTTTTGCGGAAAAGTTTAGCAACAATATGATAAACCGTTCTAAATTAGGTCTTGTGAGTGGATTGGTAGATTTTTCGTCATGAGTCAGAGCTATCTCAAACAGAATACCGCCAAACCACAATGTTACTTTTGAAGTGTATCAGAATATGCTGTTTGGAAAAGGATCTCCATAACTTTTCACCGATCGATGATCCATAATTCAAAGAAGATCATTACTTACTCGATCAATGAAGTGCGAGAGTTGATTGCCTTGAAGAATTCTGGTTCACACACCATACCTTTGAGACAACAAAATTACTATAGCAATGAGGAAAAATACTAGAAAAAGAAAGGAAAATAATCCGGACAAAAGTAAAATTAAAAGGTGAGATCAGATTTAAAATTGGGGGGATAAGTATAATTTCAGTTCATTTCGGCCATTTGACTTTTAAATAACATAGAAACACTGCAAAGAAAGTAAAATAAGGTTGGGAAATTTTGAGCTCGTAAAACAGAAACAGAGAAGGATATTGTAAGACCATAAAGCACGACCCTGGGACGAAGAAAAAATTCTGAGTACCCACGAAGACTTGAACGCATGGGGGGGACCACATGGCTTCTAGGGGGAACGAAGGGAATCAGTCGTAGCCGACAGAATATACAGGGGTNTTATTGATGGTCCGGTTTAGAGGGGTTCCACTGTACTTCATCTCCAACTTAAATATTTCTTTAATTCTTAACTAAAACAACTTAGTAAGGAAGTACGCAGATTTCAGAGAAAGCTGGCATCAGTCCAATTACTTCCTGTTTTAGTCGCGCGCCGTTACCAACCAATCGAAAACAACTGGTTCCGCTGTGACCTTGCCTGTGACGTTATTAATGAGAAAGTTATAAATAGTTGGGCAAATTTTCAAGTGCTTTGGGAAATGACATACTTCTATACGGCGTTGTTTTCTAGACAGACATTTGGGCTCTGTGAGCCGCTAGGGGGGAGCTATTTGGGAGAAGGGGACTTATTGCACTGAAGGGGGGGATTACACAGTTTTCAGGGGGAATGGAGGGGGATAACTCGTCGCCAACAGAGTATAAAGTAGGGGACTATAGAAAATTGACTGCCAATTAACTGCCAATGGGGGGTCCTACAAATATTACAGAGCCTTATGGGGGAGGGGTCAGGTTAAGGTTAATCATGACACAAACAAGCGGCCTTCAGATTTTGCGGTCCGATGTACAGATATTTTTTTTCGTTGTCCCATCCTGCTTCACAAATGTTTACAATCTATATTATCGTCACCTCCCCATACCTTTAGAAAGACAAACTTGTTTGCATGACGTTCCCGCCTCTCCTTTCACAGTTACTAAGGCTCTTGCAGGAGGCCAATGATTCTGGTCACAGAAATCCTACAAGAACAAACAAACAAACAAACAAACAAACAAACAAACAAACGCGTCATACAGAGGAAAGAAAAGAATACTGATGGTGCCACGAGTGAGAAGTACTCATTTACACTTCTGGCTGGACAGAGGCAATGGAAGAGTGAAGTCTTCCATTCAAGAACAAAACACAATGACCTGAAGCCCGTGTCTCGAAGGTCCTGGTAACTAAACGGGCCCGAAGCCACCTTTTAAAATCAAAAGTTAAGACAGAAAATGGTTTAAACCCAGGAGTAACATGTGATATTGTGGTATGATCGTCCGGGTGAGTGTAATCCTGAAAAGGACTGTTGGTGGTGATCACTGACGTTGCGACAACTTGAGCGGAAGTCGTCATGAAAGTCAGGTGAATGGCGTTCTAAGCCCAATTCGAATAAAATGATTGGTTGGTCAGTTTAGCCGTGATGTTATTGGCTGTAAGACTCAAGTGGTTTAAGTCCGTCGTGATTGGTGTTTCGATCCATTGGTAAAGTTAGATGGTTGTGTTCGGCGATTCTCCCTGCGGAGGAGTGAAAAAACGAGAAAAGTTTTGGGTCGAGGCAGCCTATCCAAACCTCCCCGTTTTCGCTCAGCCGCTAATGTGGTGCCGTTTACCATTTCGCCCTACTTTACCAGCAGAAGCCTGGAACAGGCTAAATATAAATAAGAGAAAAATCGATCTATTGCTACGTACCTGATTTTGAACCAACGCACTGACTCTTTCTAACATTCCTTCATGAGTAAACTCAATGGGAAGGTAAGGTTCAACTTCTTTCAGCATAATTTCCTTCATAACTCGTTCAACTTCCGACACATTTTTCATATCGATGGTGTACACATACGGACTCCCGATGAATTCTTCACAATAGGGATGTTGCGAAGTCACCTAAAATGGAAAAACCAACACAGAGATGTTGGAAAGGTTTAGCGTGACGTTTGTGACGACCGTCAAACGGAATAAATTGAACAACTCAACGTCTGCCTTCAAGTCGTTTTTACAGGAAAGTGAAAGTATCCAACGAATATTGGGCAAGAGATTCCAGCAATTATTTCTAGAGGTTTGACATAAGGACTATTGGAAAAGTGAGTGAAATCAGAGTTTAAAGTTGCCGTTTACCGATTCCGAAAATGTTACGCTTTGACTCAAAAACAGCTCTTGTTTCCTTCAAATAAAATAAGAAGTGTAAATTTGACCGATAGAACGCCATACTTCAAGATGTCAGGGGTATAATCGATGGATTGGCAGCTACTGATGTTTCGATAACAACAAAAGATCAGTGTTGGGCATGCCGAAGGATTGCTCCACAAAAGGCAGCGAAATCAGAAGCAACTCTTTCGGTTCGCCCTTGCAGCAAACATGGGCCTAAAAGTGTGTCTAAAAAACTGTCTATTCCATTGTCAAAATGTACTGGGGATGAAGCACGAATAAGGAAGGAAATATAAAGGAGGCAGTTCACAAAATTTCTTGTCGTAACAGACGACCTTCATGCCAAGGAGCTGACTGACTAATATACGACAGAGGACATTAAGTGGGAAAGAACCTTCAAACATACGTTTCCCCCTTCCTTCCCCCCCACCCCCAGACAATTTTCATTACCTCGGGATCATCCTGACATTTCAATTTTTTTGTATGTCGCAGGTGGCGTCATTGGTAATAAACGCAACACTGATTTCCTTACCTGTCTTAACGTGGGCTTATCTTTGAAAAACGGTGTGTTTGCCCGACTCTTTGGGGGAATAAACTAAAAAAACAAAACAAAAAAAAAACAAGACAAAGCGGTAAATTGAACAAATTGAAAGGAAACGACAACAAAGTAAAACTGAACAAAGAAAATGCAATTAGACAAGATTTAAAATTAATCTGAAGTGTTCCTTGCTTACCTTCGGATTTAAAAAGAAACATCCATTAGCTATAGCTTCCAACGGCGCAGGTCCCTCATACGGGAAACCAAGTCCAACAAAAACCTGCAAAACAGGATGAACAAGTTTTTTCTACATGGAGAAAACTGTGACACGGCAACCAACCATCATTCAGGGAAGACCCTGACTGACCCCTAGTAATGCCTCCTCTAAAAACCTAAGTAAATAAATAGAAAAAGATTCAGTTATCATTCAAGTTTTCTTAAATATTCGGTGGCACCTTCAAGTGAAGAGGGGGATTGTGGGAAAAAGTTTCTTCCTCAGGGACACAACACCTTAGCCTGCCCAGTCTAGAACCCAGACCTCTTTTTTTCAGGAATACTCGGCACACAGTTGTCACCAGGCCACCACGGGTGATCGTCTCTCATGAACTATGACAGTCATTCACTTCATATAACAAGCACAATAAAAAAGGTCCACTGAAAGCTCTCCATAGAACACGATCATCAACAGAAGCTAAATTTTCATACCATTGACTCATTCAAGAGCTGCTGCAGTTCCATCGGAGTAACAACGCCATGGTTTATCACAAAACTTGGTAAATGGCTGGCAACTTCATTATGATTCTGTGGTGTAGGAGAAAATAAAAAGTACAACGAAAAAAACTCGCAAAATAAAGCATTGATAACCCACTTGTATTTTCTCAATGAAGCGCCGAGTCTTTCAAAAATGTTACTCGACTCATATGAAGCTCGCATTTGAGGGTATGTTTCACAAAAAAAATGAATATTTTTGAAAGAAGACGAGTAAAAAATGTTCACAGTGAAACAGAAATATTCACAAAATTTCACTGACACTGATACTGCAAACGTGACGCGAGCAAACGAACTAAAAAACTGCCTGAAAAACACTGCCATCCCTGAAAATAGATTCCTAAGGCTGTTCTAGATGGAAATGTGTTCAGTGCATTTGTGCTAACTTATATTCCACGAATAAGAGCGCATCAATAGACGCTTTCTTGTTATGGCAAATAAGTCATTTCAAGTTGCGACAATACTCACCCCTCCCCCGACAGTGGCGTGTACTTCCATGTATTTGTTTACGACTTCGAGGAAGGTTTTATCTTTTACATCCTTGAAAAAAGCATTGTAAAAAGTAAACATACAGAATCAAACTAGTCGCGAGAATGCCGGGAGGTTTCCTGACCAATCACAGAACGAAGTACTGTAAAGCAAAACCAAAGCTACCCTCGAATTACTAAGGACACTCGATAAAAAATCTGCTCCAGAGCCTAGGACGAAGAAGTATCAAATCAGCACTTTGACCCCTGAGTGACTAGCATCTTAATTTTTCCCTACAATATCATCCCTGAGTACCACATGAAGGGCACAAGAATATAGGCAATGATCACCAACTAAAGAAGCTCTCGATTGTTTTCAAAAAACCAATTCTCCATGTCAGCACCTTAACAAATGCATAGAGAACAATATGGAGAAAAAGCATACTAATTTTAGAATGGAAAGGGTTACCATGGCCTTTCTCCGGCCAAGGTTTTGTTTGAGACCAGCTTGACGTCCTCCTCCCCAATCCCCTACCTCGGTCACTCTTCTCACTTCAAGTTACCTTCGTCTCACACGCACCGAGTAAAGGAAACACTCTTGTGAAGCGATCGGAATATCCAGTGGTAACCTGCTGAAAAGTGCTAGCGCTGCTATTACACGTTTTGGTCCTTACCTTCCACATGTTGACATGCTTTCCATAGACCAGAGCTTTTGCTTTTCTTCTGGACTTTTTTACTGCGTTTACTGGTGGCTGAGCATTAACAACAAAGCCAAGAAATGTGTTGTCCGGACTATGGGCTGTGAACAGAAGAAAACACGTCACAAAAAAAATTTGAAGAAGCTGATTCACCGTAGCAGAACTTAAATAAATGAAAGATGTTCGTCTTCAAATTTGATTTCACATCTGTAGTAGCTCTTGAACTAAATTCAGCTTTGAGTTGAGAGTATTTGAGAGGTATAACAAGTATTTGAGTATAAAACCTCACAGCTAAATCATTCTTCTTCCAAAGTGGCATACAGCTCATGGACAATTTTGATTTCAACTAAAACTTTTGGAGCCTGAATTTTAATCGGTAGCCTTAAAGTCTAAGGCATGCTACAGCAATATCTTGAAAATAAATGATTTCCATAATTTTGCAAAGTCTCTTTGCCTTTACTGTAGAACCTCTTTACATCAACTTTTAAAGAGGAACACAAAAAATTGCAAAAACAAATTCAAAAAATTCTCCCGGTAAAAAGCTCAACCTACGGAACATGGTCTGAAATTGCCGTAAATTTAAGTTGTATCGTCCAAACGGCGCTACAGATCCTCCAGGGAGTTTTTCTTTGTAAAGATTAAAATTGAACTGAGATTCAGTGCCAAAGGAGTCCACCACACGCAGTTTGCACCTGAAAAGGAAACAACAACACTCTGACATTATGATGTCTAAAAATCAGATTCTAGTGTCTAAATTCGGATAATATTAATATCCAATTTAGTTTCCGATGTACTGTCCAAAGTAGAACCCCGTACCAGTGTCCAAAATCGGACTAAAATCGCTTGAGTTTTAAAATCTGACACTTCTGTATAAATTGGACACTAATGTATAAAATTGGACACTAGTGCCTAAAATCCGACATCAGTGTCTAAAATCAGACACTAATGTTTATAATCAGACACTACAGTTTAAAATCAGACACTACTGTCTAAATTTGGAGACTTGTTTTCAAAATCGGACACCACTGTCCAATCTTGATAGTCTTTTAATTAATTAATTCATGCTTATTCATTCCAAATGGTGATTACCTAAACGAATTCTTGAAAGGTTCCAAACAATGAGGGTCTGCAGGGCTCAACCCTAACTTTTCAACTCACTAGCCAAGTGACTAGTGACAACTTAGATGTTATGACAATTTCAGTTTGTTTACTAGCCAAACTGGTTAGTGGAAATCGAAAACCACTGGCTAAAACTGAATTTCTTCTTATCCGTTGCTAGTTGGCTACCGTTAGTGTTGAACCCTGGTATACTTGCATTACTTGACAGGGGACAGAATGACAGTTATATTTTGAATTACACCATTGTAGGACTATAATGTAATGGAGGGTTTGATAAAGCAGCCCTTAACAAATTAGGGAAGATGAGTGCCAAGAACGGAATTGAGCTTTTTTTCTATGGGTATAGTCAGTCACACCTTCAGTAAAACAGAAAGAACTCTTCCTTTTACATAAGTGGTTGAAATGTAAAAGTCGATGATATTTTGCAAAACAGTACAGGTTGTACAGTACTTACAGGAACTGTGCAGACAGTGCACCAATTTTAGTGCTGAGTTCTTTGAGGCCAATTTAATCTGTGTACAAAAGATCTGCATCATTTAGCAATTTCTGAGGGCACAACTTCTTGCTGACAGAAGTCCCAATCACACTATCAAAAGAAAAAGAAGAATGCACTTTACAGGTTTTGACCAGAGTAAAGGTCTTTTTACTTGTAGGTATGTCTATTATGTGTCTTTAGTTTGGTAACGATAGTGGGAAAACAAGGTCTTTAGGGGGATACTTGCAGGCCCAGGGTATCCATTAGACTGCCCCTTTTCATGCACAACCTACTAGTATACCAGTGACAATGGCTCGAATTTGTTGTCTTGCAAACAGGTTTTGAGAAGGGAGGTACAGTGGCCTCATGGTTAGTGCACTCAACTCTGGATCAAGTGTTCCAGGTTTAAGCCCTGACTGGGGACATAATGTTGTGTTCTTAGGCAAAACACTTCTCACAGTGCCTCTCTTTACCTCTGTGTTTAAATGGCTACTGGTGAATTTACCTCTTTACCTCTGTGTTTAAATGGCTACTGGTGAATTTACCTCTTTACCTCTGTGTTTAAATGGCTACTGGTGAATTTACCTCTTTACCTCTGTGTTTAAATGGCTACTGGTGAATTTACCTCTTTACCTCTGTGTTTAAATGGCTACTGGTGAATTTACCTCTTTACCTCTGTGTTTAAATGGCTACTGGTGAATTTACCTCTTTACCTCTGTGTTTAAATGGCTACTGGTGAATTTACCTCTTTACCTCTGTGTTTAAATGGCTACTGGTGAATTTACCTCTTTACCTCTGTGTTTAAATGGCTACTGGTGAATTTACCTCTTTACCTCTGTGTTTAAATGGCTACTGGTGAATTTACCTCTTTACCTCTGTGTTTAAATGGCTACTGGTGAATTTACCTCTTTACCTCTGTGTTTAAATGGCTACTGGTGAATTTACCTCTTTACCTCTGTGTTTAAATGGCTACTGGTGAATTTACCTCTTTACCTCTGTGTTTAAATGGCTACTGGTGAATTTACCTCTTTACCTCTGTGTTTAAATGGCTACTGGTGAATTTACCTCTTTACCTCTGTGTTTAAATGGCTACTGGTGAATTTACCTCTTTACCTCTGTGTTTAAATGGCTACTGGTGAATTTACCTCTTTACCTCTGTGTTTAAATGGCTACTGGTGAATTTACCTCTTTACCTCTGTGTTTAAATGGCTACTGGTGAATTTACCTCTTTACCTCTGTGTTTAAATGGCTACTGGTGAATTTACCTCTTTACCTCTGTGTTTAAATGGCTACTGGTGAATTTACCTCTTTACCTCTGTGTTTAAATGGCTACTGGTGAATTTACC